CCACATTTTCATTATCCACTCATCAATTGAGGGACACCTAGGTTGCTTCCATCTCTTAGCTATTGTGAAAAGAGCAGCAACAAACATGGATGTACAAGTGTCTCTGCAATAGGATGAGTTATTTGGGTATATGCCAAGGAGTGGTATAGCTGGGTCAAATGGTAGGTTCATTTGTAGTTTTTTAAGAGTTCTCCATATGGCCTTCCATAGGGGCTGAACCAGTTTGCAACCCCACCAGCAGTGGATGAGTTGAACACTATTATTTTAATATACTTTAATATTGCCTTAGCTTTCTCTTGACTCAGATTACAGAAAGCAAAATATCCACAGCAGTATATATACGCACACCTTATTTATTTATTTATTTATTTATTTATTTATTTATTTACTTAGTTAGTTGGTTAGTTAGTTAGTTGGTTAGTTAGTTGGTTAGTATAAACTACTCTTGAGCCACATAGTCCCTCTCCCAGATTTTAAGATATCCAAGTTCAGGAGATTATCTTCATTCATTTAAACTTATTTTGTTAGTGCTGACCTACCTAAGGAATTTTTTTTTAAATGCATAAGCCTCCAAATTTTGTATCATGTGTAAGTGAGAAGATGTGAATGAAGTTCATTTAAGTCAGAAAGGGGCTGACAGGATCCTCGTAGCAACTTTCCCCAGAACTCCTGCAGAGACAGGTACCTGAATGTCTTAAAGCCCTGATTAGATGCATATACTTTGCTAACATTATTTTCTGATATTCAAGTCTCACGAAATTCATCAGACTATAAACTGAGTTGCTACCTAAGTATTTTCTTCTTTCTTGATTTGCTGACACCCAGACAAAAAACTCCTGATAAATTGAACACATGTAGCTTTAAAATAAAGTTGTTACAAATCTCAGATTTGCCAGTGCTAGGTACAAGTGTGCTGTCTTTGCTTTTAACACTGTATAGCTTTACCTTTCCACTGACCTCTTTTGTACAGCACTGTGATGGTTTGTTGTTTTAATAGAATCTCTGCATATTTCTCATGGTTTAGATACAGAAGCAAATTCTCTGACCTCTCTCTTTCCCATAATTGATGCTTTTATTATTTTTCACTACAGGATTATCTCAATCTTTAGCCAATCCTCCAGATGGCTTGGATATTGTGCAGCTTGAGGTATGCTATTATGTGGATCTGTGAGATTTGTATTTAGTAGGGGCCTTGAAAGTATCATCACTTAAAACTATTTTAAGATCAGATATTTGGCTGCAGCAGAAAGTTGCTGTTACCTCTTCATGGCTTCATTTAAGATATCCTGAGAACTGAGTTGAAATTCACCACATTGTGTGAGAAGATAATCCAAAGTTCATAAACAGAACAATTTTAGAATTTCAAGCATGCTGTGAAGGAATTCCACTAAATAAAGAATTTATTCTTATTTTCCTCATTTTGCTTTTTAGCACCTGACATATTGTCTAAATCAGTGGGAGGCTCTTTCTAACCAAACTAAGGTAAAAAATCAGGTATGTCTGCTAGTTCCTGCAGTTATATCAGCACACGTTTACACCATAGCTTATATATTTAATAAACACACTCCATTTACTAGAGAATGTTTTATGTATGTATGTGTGCATATAAAATAAAAAATATGGTTTTAGGAAAAATCAAGCGTCTCTAAGGATTATTATAATAATATATAATAAAATCATTTATATGTCATGACATATATTGTATATTATAAATTGATGCACTATGATATAGTAGTTCTCCAACACCATGGATCTCATGCAAAGGATCATGCCTATAGTAACTATAGTAACCACAACAAAAATAATTCAATGGATATAAAGTCTAAGTTAATTGAAAATGCAGAAAGGTGGTCTTGGTGTAGTCCACAATTCTCAGATTAGCCTATCAGTTTTTACCTTGAGTGATAGTTCTTCCTGAGTCACTTCCCCAACCCACAGAAGACCATGCTCCACCCACGGGGAATACCTCACTATTCCCCATATATGCCAGGCCCTTTAAATCTTTGTACGGCCTTTTCCCTGGCTGGAAATGTCTTTGCCTTCCTCATAGGCTATAGTTATAGCCCACGCTCTCAAACTAAGGTTCTAGAGCTCAAAACCCAGCTCTGTTCAACCGTGGCAGTTTCTTAATCACTTCGTGCCTTAGTTTCCTCATCTGTAATTTACTATATATAATTATTGTATTTACTAATATAATTATTGTAACGGCTCCAGTTATTGTGAGGATTGGCTGTTTTAGCATTTATGAAGTGCTTTTAACAGTGTCCACAGCATGGGAAATGACAGTGATTGAAAGCCTCTGGATGCCACTATCCTTTACACTGAGGCTTTGAGGATGTACTCTGCATAAGCAGGGACAGAGGAAGTGGGGCTGTCCCATGTGCAAGTCACAGTATTCAACTGGATTGTGAGGTTTACAAATGCAAGAACTTATTTCAAATGAATTTACATTGACCTTTTTCATTTCCCAAAGCCTGTCATATTCATTATTTCTGATTACAGAAAAGTGAGGGGTGGCTCAGTGAACAAAAATACCAGTATTTTGAAACTATGAATGGAGAGGGTGTGGCTCTTCCTAGCCTCTCTGTTCCACCCACGTGTGACCTTCAGCATGCTATTTCCTCTCCTAGAGTTCCTACAACTGTCTAGTGTTGGAATGAGTTTCCACTGGTGCTCCAAGTCCACTCTTGTTCTGGTCTTCATAAGAGGCCAGAAAGATTAGTGTCTATAGTGGATTTTTTCTGTTCAGGTGACTCAGTAAGTGGCTATATTCTGCAGCTAATGTCAGCTATGAAATTCTTCAAGTTCTATTTTTCTGGTTACTGGATGAGATCAGAAGAAATTTAGACAGAAAAAGGATAATAGGTTCTTGTAAACAGAGACCCATTTATTCATTCATTCAGAAAAGTTGTCTTTTAAGACCCAGACCACCTGCCAAGTGCTGGTGGATGGAGCTATGACCCAAACAAATACAACTACCTGTGCTTGTGGGATGTGCACTCTAGTTGGGTTACTCATGAAGTGATACATGAGTAAATCTTATACGTGTTTCTTTTTTTCTGAAAAAGAGAAGGATAAATCAAGAAAGGTGCATATGAAATGTGAAGACGTGCAATTAGCACTGGAAAAACAATTTCACAAAAACTTGATTAGAGTGTAGCTTTTTATAACTTAGAGAATTGTTTTTTTCTCCCTAAGACTGAAAAGATGAAAAGAGATCAAGTTTTAAAATGGCAACTTTGTCTTAGATCCTGTGTAAGCTATAGTCCTAACTTTTTATAGTGGAGGAATTCATTTTAGACTGGCTATTTTATTATATTTGAGTACATCCAGTAAAACCCATGGTGAAATTCATACTGAGACCCTCACCAAGTACCTGCTTCAGTAAAATTCCATGTAACTTGCCTCTCAATTCTCTTTCCAGAAAAATCAAGATGTATCCAAAAGGGTGAGTGATTACCCTCAGTGCTTTAACAAATATCATGTACCATGTTTGGAGCAAGTGGCATTTAGCACTAATATCACTTTCCTTTCTACTTAGTTTTTATTTCACTACTCCAGAACTCAGAAGCCGACATATCCAGTTAACACTGGGGTCAGTATCTTATCACAGTCTTCCTTCTGTAGAAACCAATCTCTTCTATGTACCTTTCATTCCTTCTGAATGTATATGTGCATGTAGCCAAGTGGAAGGCAGGGACCCCCTAGACTTATCTGCGTAGTAGCTTCCTAGATGCTTCCTCCAAGGGCAGCAGGAATTGTCTCTTCCCCCTCTGGGATGAGAGTGGTTGGTTGAAGATATATCTGAAATATTAGAGAATAAACTACAAAAAAGGAAAAATAAGAAATATATGTATATATATATATTTAAAATCATGTAGCAAAAGAAGGGTAAATACCATACCCTATTTCATTGCTCCTTATTACCTTCCATTGTAAAACTTCGAAAAGTGCTCTGTGATAATGTAAGATGCTGTCCCCCCTGGTGATCCAGGGATGCCTTCTGTGGCTATGTGGGTATGTATGCATGATGGGAGTAAGGACTATCACTTTCAATTTTGTTTTCAGTTCTGGGGCTCAAACCCAGGGCCTTGTGCATTCTAGATAAATGCCCTATCACTGAGGTAACTCCCCAACTCTTGTTTGATTTGAGACAAATGCTTATTATGTAGTTCAGACTGGACTTGAACTCATAATCCTGCTGTTTCTGCCTCCCTAGTGTTAGGATTACAGTTGGGTGCTCCCAGGCCTAACTAACTTTCTTAAAAATAACTGCAGCCTTGGGAGCAGTTTGTGTAGACGAACTGCAGGGTGGGATTGAAGAAATACTGGCCAAATTACAGAACAGAACTTTTAATTCTGATGCCCTGTCATAGTGACTGAAATTCTACGGCAAGAAGGTCACTTATTTGTATATTTAAGGCTTCTCAAGGTTTCAAGAGGAACCCTTA